GGCCCCGGCCCGCCTCGCCCCGCCGCGGGCGGGGGCCAAACCCCGACCCGTTTCAGGGCTTTTCTACAACACCGACCCGGCACCAATTGCTGCGTGCCGCGGTGCGCCGGGTGCCGTCCACCCCTGTGTGTCTGCGTGCGCCCGCAGGTACCCCTATACCTGTGTGGGTGTGTGTGTACACACGCGGACACGCACGTGCAGCAAAACAATCTTCCAAAAAAACCCCAACCCGATAATACCGGTTTACAGATGAAAATGATGCGTATGGATCTATTCGGCCTGCTTTGCCCTAAATTGCGGGCAGCAGCCTCCCGTCTGCGACAGTCTTGACCTTTCCTTCCGCTTAGAGCTTTTCTGATTTTAATATTTGCTGATTGCTTGTTTCTATGTGTGGCACATTGTTATGGTTTTAAACTTACTTTTGTAGCACTTGTGAAAACCTGTGTACAGCGATTGATTTATCAGCTCGGTGCAGATCACGGGTTAATGACCTTCAGATGTGGCCAATTTAATTATAATGATAGCTGACATCGCACGCGATACAGGGCTGGGATTGCACTTGCCTGCTGATCCTGGAATAATGACTTTTATTCCCTTCCTCGTTAGGACGATGGCTTCTATCTCCGAGCGCACCTTCATCGCCATCAAGCCTGACGGAGTCCAGCGGGGACTGGTGGGAGAGATCATCAAGCGGTTTGAACAGAAAGGCTTCAAACTGGTGGCCATGAAATTAATACACGTAAGCTTTCCTTAGTTTGTATGTCTCCTTTTTCATATAAACTGCAGCCTTAAAGTAGGGCAGCAGGCTGCAACGACAAGCGTCGTCTTCAGAACAATTAAACCTGAAATTTTGCGAAGCCTTTGACTATTTTGGAAAAGTTCCAATTCCCAGCTCTGGCTAAATGCTTTGGACATGCCAAGCATGCTAATTTTAGTAACTTCATGTCATTAGTCTGAAGAGAGTATTCTTTTAGCTGCATCCTATACCTAAAAAATATCTCCGAGTATCTTCAACAAATGCCAGGTCACATAAGCTGTCTATATTGGCAGAAGATACTTTGCGAAGTTCAGCTCTGGTTAAAGCAAACAGCTCAAGTTCGTATCGACCAAAAGTACTTCTAGGAAGATGCTAGCAATGCAGACTTCTCAAGTGCGTGCAAGTTTTAGGATTAATAGTGCTCTGTGGTTAATCTGCCTGATTTCAGTATGCTCTTAACTTCTTACAGTAAGCTGGTTTTGGTTGGTTGGTTTTTAATGCAGGCCTCTGAAGACCTTCTGAGGGAACACTACATTGACCTAAAGGACCGGCCATTCTATGATGGTCTGGTGCAGTACATGCACTCGGGACCCGTTGTAGCTATGGTGAGTCTTTAAAAATTAAGCTCAGCTAAGGAAAATACCCTGTATAATTGTCTTACCTGCAATAAGATTGTGTTACCTATTGAATTCTAGTTTACTTTTAAAAGGACTTTAAAACCTAGATTCAAATACTGCAATTAGGAAGACATGCTGTTAACTCCTTTTTCTTTTCATCTTTGTTTCATAATCTTCCTCTCCTTTGAGTCAATGTGTTGAGGAAGAAGGCAGGGGTAAAAGGGGGAACCAAAGCTGGGACCTTGGGAAACCGCAAACCTGCACAGAAAACCCGCTATGAGATGCCATGTATTAAGCAAGCTGAAAAATGCTGGCAGAATATTTTTACTGCACTCCCAAGCTATAGTAACTTTGAAAATCTTTTTCGGTCTAACTTCATTAGAAGGGATTTTCTCTTCTTTTCCTTGATAGTGTATTTGTAAGGTAGTTGAGCTGGAGGTCTAGATCTTCAGTGAGCAGGCAGCTTTGTGAGGCTGTTTACCATACTGAGGTTTAAAATTACCCTCTTCCCGTCCTTGGTGAGGAGAGGTGTTGTGCGGAAGGAGAGAACTTCAATAGAGGCTTCAAGAATCTGACGGGAAAATTGGAGATAAAGTGTGTCTTGCTATTAGGAATATTCGGGTGGTGATTTGTGATGGACAGCGTTGCGTAATCCTGGAAGGTATGATTAACTCTTGCTACTTTATCTACCGCTAAGATTTAATAATCTCCATGGATTTTTTTTTTTTGTTTTTAAGGTGTGGGAAGGTCTTAACGTGGTTAAGACTGGAAGAGTGATGCTGGGGGAAACTAATCCATTCGACTCAAAGCCTGGCACCATTCGTGGTGACCTCTGCGTCCAAGTTGGACGGTATGTTTTGAAACGATTGGTATCATCTAAAGACACTGAATGTCCAGTGGTATGTCATGATATATGTCATGATATATGTAGGAACTGTGCTCCATCCTTCTCTATCTTGTGCACGGAGCTGCCGTTCCCTGTGCCCGTGTCATGTTATGATCTAAAGATGGGAGCCGAGTTGTGGTCTTCCCCATTGACAAACGATGAGCAGGGCTGGGACGGCATGCTCCCTGCCTCCTACCGCTTTACAGTTACTTACAACTTCTCTCCATCGTGGAGACCACTTCAAAAAGCGAAGCGTGCTTTGCTTTGAGTTTGAGGATGATACTACTGCTTTTATATCCACCTTTTCTTTTCCTAGGAACATCATTCACGGAAGTGATTCTGTAGAAAGTGCTGAGACAGAGATCAACTTGTGGTTCGCTCCCGACGAACTGGTTGATTACAGAAGCTGTGCTCATGAATGGATCTACGAGTAGAACGGAGCCGATACCTTCTGATAGTCTGTCTGTGAACAGCTGCTAGCCTCTAGCTGCCTCAACGCCCTTCATATAAACTGGTAGAAACCCGCCTCAGAATTCTGTGAGATTGCTCTGCTGGGAATAGTAAATATAGTCAGTGTTTGCTGCTGCTTTGGTTAAAAAGCTGTCGAGTTATAGATGGAATTGTACTCTTAAAAAGCTGCTTCTGGGGGTGAGATAATCTCCATGGATTTTCAGAGCATATAATTGTCCCGAATTGTCCCAGACATCTATTGTCCCGAAACACTCCGTAGTCAAAGAGGGCATTTTGGTAAATAGAAAAAAAATTGGTAAAAATTTATTTGGTAAATAAATATGCAAATGGCTCAGTGTCCAAAGTTGACGTTGTTAAAATGTTAGGGGACAACTGGTGGTTTGTAAATATATTGATGGTGTGCCCAGACGCTGGGGGCTGAACTCGGTATCCAGCGAATCCCCATGCCCAAGGCGGCTGGAGGAAGAAAGCCTCTTCCTCCCTGCAGAACGCGCTGTGCCTCTACGCAGAGCGTAGCTTTGACCAAAATGAGAACTTTCCTCTAGATGGACACTGCTTCAGCTTGCTTTTTTTATCCCCACATGGGATTTATTTAGCATTTTAAGGAAGGATCAATAGGCCAGGCTTTCCGAAATGCCCTTTTATGTGAAAAGAAGACCAGTGTGAGGTTGGTGAGGGAGATCTGCCTTCAGCCACCTTACTGTAGCGGTCCTCTGGCGCTGCGCAGAGCAACAGCAGGGCGCCCGCCGTTTGCTTTACTGACTGAACAGCTGATGGCTCAGCTACGTCCCCGTTTGTGTCCTTTCCTTAATAGCTGGAACTACAAAGCGAGCTGTTCTTGGGTAAGGTATTTCAGAAGTGACTGTAGCTTTTTTTTTTTTAATTTATTCAATCATGTAATGAAATACAGTCATGATAATGCTAAAGGTATTTCAGTAGAGGTGCCTGCTTCTATCAGAGAAAACGATCCGCCTCTTGCAGAAATCTTAATAACAAACATTCATTAGCTGTACTGGATGAGGAACAAGAAATGTGTTGGGGTCAATATTATGTATTTATTTACCTGCAGCCTGTATTCATTAAGAGTTTCATGAAGTTAGTTGTTTGAACTCCTAGATTTTTTTTCCCTCCAGCGAGTTCTTGTTTCAAATACGGAACTGTGCAATGAATGTTGAAGTCGATGCTTACGATACTTCATGAGGATATCTAACTCCCGAAAAGAGATGGTGCAAAATAAAACAACAACTGCTGTTTAAGTGAAATAAAAGGAAATCTTCACTGTATTGTCTTAGAGCTAATTAATGAGCATAAGGAGAGGGAACAAATTCCCTAACTACCACAGGAGATAAATAATGAAGTTAAAGGGAATGTGTGACAAACCTGCGCAGGGGGCGAGAAGTCTCCAGTTCCATTTTTGCTTGAAGGATTACTTGAGGTTTCTTTTTCTTGATTTGCTTACTGTAAAATAGAGAAATGGGAGTTACCTGGCGGCGGGGGGGGTGTCTACGGAGGAGTGTTTCTGCCGCGTTTAGCCGGGGAGGAGGGGGAGGTCGGCCGCCTCTCGAAGAGGTGCGATACTCCGGCACTTGCGCGGTGCCCGAGCGAGCACGTCCAGTTTCACTCGTCGTAAGCGGCCCGTCGGGGAGAGGCTGCGTTAAGGACCGCACAGGGCGTTGCTTTGGCGTTAGAATAAATTGCAGTGATGGCCCGCGGCTGCACCTCGCGCAGGGAGGGGAAATGCATTTTGTGACTCGGTAAAGGACCAAGTAGCGAACACAGTGGGCAGTAACCACGCCCTTCCCCCTTCCCCTCGGGATCCCGGG